GGGGGGGGGGTTCAACTTTAGCCACATCCAGTTTAAAGAGTATGCAAAGTATGCGATCGTCTAGGGCGGTCAAATTGCAGGACCGCAGAAAAATAAGGTTATGATAAATAAACGGAGGAAATAAGAAAATTCTAATATGTATTTATTTTAGTACATATTTTTTGTAAAGTATGAAATAGTGGCAATATATAGTCTGTATAATATTATTCTCCTTTATAATATAAACTATATTTTAAATTATAAGCGAAGATTTTTATTTACGCTAATGCACAAAATATTCGTTCTCGAGAGTTAATTTGTGGTGCTGGTTGGTGGGGCTGAAGATTTGTCCTCCAGTATACTTCATTATTTGGTAACATTTGCATTCTTTTGTCCTGGCGTTTACAAAGTGTTATAATTAAATTGCGTCCAATATCTAACAATAACAATACAGATTATGTAAGAGGTTGTATTTATTTTGATTTTTAAACAAATTGTACTAGAGTTACACAGTGAAAATATTTGGTGGATTTGCCGCTGGGATTAGGAAAAGCGGATATCGACGCAGTGATCGCGTATATCGAAATGACAGTGCCGTGGCACTAACACAGACGCAGAATAAAGATGTTTAACGTTGATAAGAAAAAAGTTGCAGGCCTTTGTAGCTTTATTCTAACATTATGCCATTTTTTTAAGAGTTGAAAGAAATGCCACTAGAATCGATAAAGGAGTAGGTAGGCTACTTACCAGCTTGTACATGTTGAGGTGTGGCACACACTGTCCGTGTGAAGATGTTGATGCTGTGGCGTACCGCTCTTTTATACTTCAAACCCATAGGGGTGGTAAGCGTTATGGGGTCAAGTACGGCTGGTCACGAGTTCATATCCCTTCCATGAATTGAGACTAGAACAGAGGAGTGTCCAAACTATCGTTTTTGTGTCTAACCTCACTGACTATTCTTGTCGGTTTGATGGTAATGTACAAGTGTTTCGAAATCACCAATGTCCACACCCTATAACAATTTCTCTGTGAAACGGATATCATAAGAGTAGGATTTAATGTTTAAATATTAATTTAATAATTATGACAGTTCCAGGTGACCTGGTTTATTTCAGGTTGTAGTCTTTTGCTATGCTCTTAGGTTACTGTCACTGATTTCTCAACCTGAAAACTTGTAGAGACATTAAACATAAATTATATGAAGTTGCAGGTGGCTGGACCTCAGGAATGGGGGACAAGAAATTCTTGCAAAATTTTCGTAGGGAAATCTGCTGGAAAGTGGCCAATTTTAATAACGGGAAACATATTGGAAGCTAACTTTAATATGGATAATAGTGAATAAAATGTGAGACTTGGATGTGGTGGAACTCTGGGGTTTGAGGACAATGGCGGGCCTTGGTAATAGTCGTGTTGAACCTCGCAGTTCTCATTTCAGAGTGAAAAACATTAAATAATTTGTAATAAGGCAGGAATGTAGACATTTGAGGCACTGACTCTCAGATCCTCGTATAATGTTGTTCCTTGCTTTGTATTCTGAGACTAACTGCAAAGAAAGAAACGTTCCTAAAAAAATTAGCTCGACTGCCAACAAAATTGCACAGAAAACGTGACTAAGTTACTGTACAAGTAATAAAGAAGAAAATAATGAAATAAAGAAGTAAGTGAAATGAAATAAGGAAGTAGCAAAGAAAGAAACGATGAAGGAAAAAGAAGAAACGAAGGAAAAAAGAAACAAAGAAACGCAGAGAAAAGTTATGAAAAATAAAGGAGTAAAAAATACAGGAAGGCAGAATGCAAGGTAGAGAGGAGCAAGTTAGGAAATGAGAGTTTTGCGTAACAGTTCTAACTTGTCTATTGTTAATCCATTCAGCGATTAAGTTGTTACATGTGAATAGATGGACATGGCAAATTGAATAGTAGAATTTTACGCCTAAAATAGAAGAAATAAGAAAGGAAAGACAAAAAACAGGAAAGCGGAGGAAGAGTGCTGCGATCAGTAATTTACCAGTGAAACAATTTCACTCACACAGGGCTCAGCCCCCACACATTCATCTGTAATGTCCCAGGACAGCCACTCGTATCGTCCATTTGCCCCTGCAGGCCGACCACCAGCCGTGCTCCCTCAACCTCGCTTCTTCTGTCACCCAGGACAGATGTAAAGTTCCCGGAAATTTTGAATCGTGGGAAGAAACGAGAAAATTGAGTTAAAGAACAAACGTTTGTATTTGAACAGGAAAAGGAAATACGATTTCGAGAATCGAAGGATTTAAGCACTTTGTAAAACATATAGTTTTATTAGATTTTTTTTTAATTTCAATAGAAATAATTTTCATGGCGTACGTTGTCTGCGTGTCCTCAGAATCCTTACCTTACGGTCAGCCGTCTGTCGGAGAGGAATTAATACAAAAAGATATTTTCTAAGAGCTTAATTATGTGACTGACAAAGTTAGGCATAATCAGCATGACATTAATGTGCAAACAGTCTCGCCAACTTGCTGATGCAGAAATCCACATAGTTTTCAATATTCCAACTTTTACTTCTCCTCTTCTAAAATTCCCCCCCCCCCAAAAAAAACAGTTTTCATCCCCTAACTTGCATCTGATTGATGACTTGTACCGTAAATAACTTACAACTTTATTTTGACCGTCGGGCACCAGGAGAATTACAGACGTAGCAAGATTATTAAATTGCACTGAAATAAATGACAATTTGTTGGACAACCGTGGTTCAGTCCCCTGCCCGGGGGCTTTCTCCACGGGACAAAATTGCCCAGTTCATGATGCCGACCACTTTCAGTGTTTGAGAATCGGTGGAGATTTATTTCCACAGACGCTTAGACAGTAAATAAATTTTCTTTCTTCTACGGAACGCAAATATTCAGTGTTTTATTTATTAGAGCCAGCCATTGGCACATTTTCTGAACGTAAATAATCCAATTCACACCCACATACTATTCTTAGATCCATTTTAATATTATCCTCCCTTTAATGTCTAGGTCTTCTGGATGGCTTTTCCCTTCAGGTTTTCAGACCAAAATCTTACATCTCTTTATCTTCTGTTCCTTGTATGTTGCATGTCCCAACAGTCTCATTCTTTTCGATTTGATTACCGTAATATAATCTGCTGAAACTAGTGAACAGTACAAAAGACAGTGTCTTCTAATGTAATTTTCCGTCATCCTGTTACTAAATCTCTCTTAGTTCCAAAAATTCTCTTTAGCGCCCTTTTCTTAAGCATCTCTCAATCTGTGTTCTTCCTTTAGTGTGTGAAACTACTTTGCATACTTATATACGGCAGTTGATACAGAATCGTTGAAATATTGGAAAAAAGTGTCAGGACTCGTATGTTATTGTTTGATTTGGAATCGTGTCTTTAATGTTGGCGTTAAATATGTTTTGATTTGCACTGTTATCGTACGCTGTCAGAATCTCTTCAGAAAGGTTTAATCTTATTTGTATTTTAGAGGACACGTTTGCGCCTTGAGATGTCTTTCTGTCTTTCTCAGCTGTAGCATCTAACGAAGATTATTATTGACAGAAGTAACGTTTTTGTGTGGGAAGTGAATCTTTTTTCTGGCAGATTCAAGCACCAATTTCACATGAAACTAACGGCACCTACATTCTACATTCTCCGCTGACCTACAGAATTCAGTTCAGCTTTAAATTAAAATGATTTAAGTGAGATGGACAACGGAGAATCGACACGAAAAATCAAACCGATCGATCCATCAAATGAAATATCGTCTAAAGTGATCGTTTCCATTTATGAATAAAAAGACAAGCTGATAATTGACTACACAGCGAAGTAATGCTGAATCAGTTCAGCGCGGTGTAATAAAATATTGTATACCCCTTTGTTCTATTCGTTGTAGTCCTCGGTTCATATTTTCAGTGGCGTAACTCGTCCTTGTCTTTCAGTCGTTCGAAGTCTGATCCAGATCGCGATAGTTATTATTTATGGGTCCTGTCCTTACTCCAACCCCTTCCCACTTGCTTTGTTACTTGGTCCCAAGCTCGTGGCTTTTAATTTTGTTCACTGTTTGCGTGGATGTCTGCCTATCTTTTTGTTCGAGTTACTTCTTCGCATCATAAAACCTTTTGTCTGAACTGTCTGAACTTTGTTTACGTAAGAAAATTTGCTTAATTGGTGACGTTTTATGCCTGCCAATGAGTGGGTGATGTGTTTCAATTAATGGTAAATTTATATGTTTAACTGGATTGGCCCACTTCGTATAATGAATAGAATAATGCTGGAGCATGAACCTTACCTACTACTCATCTTAATTTAATGCAACGGATAAGAATCCCATACGTACGTGTTCATGGCTTCGTGCTGAAATAATCGTACTTTGCTATTCTCCTACTGGCTTAATTTTTTTTATTATTTTACAAGAATTACATTAGCAATCTTACAAACGAATTATTTCAGCGGTATGTTATCAGACTTCGACTGACTCAGAATAACTTCGGAGGACATGGATTCCTATTCGAAAGTTGTTCTCTCTGAGTCCCTCCATAAGCCCCATCAGTTTGGCCCTAACCTCTTGAATCATCCTGTATAATATATTATATTATGTACTAATGCATCCATAAGTAACTGGCCATAACACAATAACGTATGTTCTCGATTCTGAATGCAAGAAAGCCACTACTGTTTACTCCCAGTCGAATGGACAATGACGTCAGTCATCAACAAGTATCGATAATCAACGATGGTGACATTTATGACGAGAGTTTCAGCCGCGAGTCACTAAATAAGACGCAGATGGTAGTGCTGCATATTTTAACACGCTTTCACTCTAGAGGGAAGCACCGTTAGTGTCACCCAGCGGAAAAATGTCGATAATATATTCAGTTTCTAATCACGGATTCGTCAGAAGTGGGAAATAAAACTTATTCAAGCTTGAAGTCTAAGCGTCCCGTCTTTATATTGAACAGATTATGTCTAAACGTCCAATTATACTAATAACCATAAAAAAATAACTCCGTGGGGGGGTCGTCTTTTTAACTAACAGCCGCTCAACTAGTCAAGACATTCTTTACCTTTTATGGGACTCTGAGTTTTATTACCGTGTTCACAGTATGTCGCCTGTTATTGGACCCTATCCTGAGCCAGTTGAATCCATTTTACACCGAAGATGACTGTTCCCTGAGTTGTAACGCCGTGTAATCTGGTAGAAATGTGTTAACATTTCAGAGGTCCATGCTGCCGACATCATCAGGGTGATGAGTGGAGGCAGTAAGGACCTCTGAAATGTTAATAAATTTCTACCAGATTACACGGCACTACAGCCCAGAAGAGAAACAACTTTGTTCTCACCGCCGTGAGAACTACAAATCCTACCATTTCACGCCCTTATATTTTATTCAAAATCGAGCTTAATAGTGGTCTCCCATTTAATCTCATGTAACGCAAGTGAACCATCAAAACTGTAAATATCACAAGTCTTTAAGCCTTGGTAATAAACTTCACGTTCTATAAAACTCAGAGGAATTTTATAGTTCAATAACTGTAAAATTCTTATTAAGGATACTGTTTCATAAAGTTGGTCATACGATGTGTCTACCACACGTAAACTGTGTGATCGTTTTAAACATAGAATGATTTAATTAACACCAGATTGTTTTCTTTCTTTCTTATGCTTCAGTCTCTGTTCTGGGATGTTGTCTTATAGATTAGACTATACGGTGCAGCATCCCAGAAGACAGCCATCTTCTCGCCGTAGAACCTCAAATCTGATCTGATATTCATTTTTCGACAATTTTCGACTTCGAATCTTTTATTTCCATCCTTTCAACGTGTCTCAGGACTTCCTGGACCACAATTTTAGCTCAGGTTGTGCTTGGGGATTGCTGTGTTGCAAACTCGGCGGTGAAGCTGACTGTCCTCAACAACTGTCCTAAGTTTCCTCGTCTACGCCATTTATTGCAAGTCACAGGTTGTTGAATAAAACCAGACAGGCATCGACCGTCGCTGTCCCAGTCATGTGGCCTTCACTGACTGCAACAAACTTACTTTGTTCTAAGTGTACTTAAAGACACTCTGTGAACTTTATAGGCTGTCTGTCGTGTGGAGTGAATGGACAAACTACACGATCATGAGTGTTGGTAAACACGTAGAAGCACAGCACTTCTCTCTGTCAAGTGCGAACACGAGTGTATTTGTAGAGGATGGTAGGAACACATTTCGAGGTGACAGGCGGATGTAAGTATCGGCAAGTAACTTGTTGTATAGGTAAAGTCAGGGCATTGATCAGCATTATGCGCCAAGTAATGTGTTTGCTGATACTGTCCGAATTCGTAGCATTAGAACTATAATATTCAGTCTTTAAAATCTTCTAATATCTTTTGAGACTGTAGCTCATGCGATTTACAAATGTTTGCAAAGTCACCAGGTGAAAGTCCAGGTTGGACAACATGCTCTTTACTTATAAATTGCGTGATAGATTTCACGAATTAATTAGACTGAGTTGGCAGGTTCTGAAAATTTCATCGCCGCAAATAAAATCTCGCCACTGGATCCTGAGATACTTTTATTCACCAGTAATTCATCGAACCTGTCTCTGTAAGTTCCATCCTGATATTATTCCCCAATATATTGGTTTTACAAATGAACTTCTCCATAGAGTCTGCTCCAATATCGAGAGGATTTATTTTTAGGCAAGGAATATGAACAAAAAGAAATGTAGTCTCTAAAATATCTTTATTGAAGTAATTCAATGACTACACTCGGTGTGTCATCACTTCATTGTTAATGGATAATGGCTGAGCCAGAAAGAAGGGGTGCTCCAAGCACACCGGGGCCGCCGTATGCTAAGGGTGCGGCACCGGCCCAGATGGGAGAGGTGCGCACCAAGCCGGGGCCGGCAATTGTCGCGATGCCTGGGGACAGAGCGAGGCCGGGGCCGGCACTCCACGTAGCGATGGCCGGAGTACCCACGATGCTAGCCGACACGGCGGCGAAGAGGAGAGACAACAGAACCTGAGAAGAATTAAAATTATAGTCTGACGATGGCAACTCTGGAAACAAGAAATGTAAACGATACTGTCGTGGCGCCTATGGTGGTGTCTGGCGGATTCTGAAGTCTGGCTTCGGTTTCTGTTAAGATATTTTTAAGTTTGTATAATTTGAGGTTTTCGCAGTGGTGAGTATGAAGATTTCTGTCTTCTGGGTTGTTGCTGTGTAGTCTGGTCGATGTTAACCAACGTTTCAGAGGTCATACTGCCTCCGTCATCAGGGCGTTTCATCGGAGGCAGTATGACCTCTGAAACGTTGGTTAACATCGACCAGACTACACAGCGCAACAACCAAGAAGACAGAAATCTTCTTATTTTTAAGTTTACTGTACAAAGATATGTTATTAGTTTTGTAATTTAAGTGGGATTTTACAGAGATAATGCTGCAATATTTTGTTTGATTGTTCAACACAAGGAAGTTCGATCTCCGTCAATTTTGACTTCGCTAGTACATTGTAAATTTGCTTTTTCTGCAGAGTAACAAATAAAGTACAGTCCAGGGTGTGGTGATCTGCGTTGTGATGTTGTGTAAGGTGGTTACTAATGTTGGCTCATCATCTACACTAACTTGTAGGCCTAGTACATTCCAAAAGGCCTGTAAAATATCCTGAGTTACAGCCTTACATGACAGCACAATGCAAAAGACCACAGTCCACATTTTAACCGCCGTCAAATTTTCATCCCGTCTAGACATTCTCAAGACATATATTGAATACTTATCAAAATACGTTCAGAAATGTGTTTAGACCATAAATTTATGTGGACTTACGAATTATATTTAATTAAAACATAAGAACAGATAGGTCGTGTACGAAATTTAATCACAATCTGTCAACAGACTCAGAACTACGCAAAACAACCTTCCATACTAGAACTTTAAAATCAACAAAATTAAAAGTCAGAATATGTATATTTATTAAATAAAATATGCGGACTGATACCTCTCCATTGTGCTTACATTTTGTTATTGCATGCTATGAAAACATAAAGCAGTGGCTAACGATGCATTCTGTCTGATCGTTTCTGCTGTGTTCCAGTGAATGGAGTGCCACCAAACCACGAAAGTAACACAAGAATTTTTTATTTTTCATTTTTTCAAAGTGTTAGCCGGGCTAACATGGTTAACACGAATTTTTACCCCTGCGTACAATAGTTTTTGAAAAGTATTCTCGAATATCAAGTTATCTATAACATTATATAGAAGTCTTTAAGCGTTTTTGAATAATTTAAATCCTGCGGTGTTATACTACGTCTCATTGTATAGACAACGTCGCTCTGATGTTGGCAAAAATAAAAATAAATATGGCGTTAGACTTGCAAACACTGCGAAAGTAAGCGAAATAGTTAATATTGTAATCATATTAAAAGTCGTCAGTGGGTTTATTTGTCGATGATTTACCATCGCAATGCAATGTTGTAATAATTCTAAAAAAAATACTCAGAAGCAAAAGTTATTGCTTTAGAATTCTAGAACCAGCTGTGATTCTGGAACCAATACTCACCAGCTTGTACATGTTGATGTGTGTTTGTGTGTTTCTGTCTGAATGCAGATACTGATACTTTGTGGATAATCTCAGCTGCTTTTATACTTCCAAGTTGAAGGGTGGTGCTTACCAATAACGGTCAAGAGCACTGTGTCATGTCTGCGATTTCCATAGGTTAACATTTGTTTTGACGATAATGTCAAGTATAGTGCTAAAGTGACATAAGTCCAACTCCTGATCTAGTGTTTGACCTTCTGAATCATATCGTGTTTAAACTGGCGTTTATTTTGTTACTGTTTTAAAAATTACAGTCCTCTTCCTTTGTGATGTACCAAATTTCCTTTGTATAGATCATCACATGACTATATGATTATTGTGTATATTTGGAACTTTTTTGATAGATTCCAGTAAGGGTCCAGTATCGAACGAACGGCTTCCGGAGGCCTAGTATGTTAAAGGTGTTGTTAATCTTTGAAAAGAACACTTCATAAACTCCTGCAGTTGGAATTACATTCGGTACATCCCTTCGTTTAATCTTTTAAAACAGGGCGGTTAAAATTTTATATTTCCTGAGGCCAACAATAGTTTTCCCGTTTTATCCAATGGACAAGAAACTCCTCCAAACACTATTTTTTTTTAAACTAATAGCCAATTTTAGTTATTTTTAACACACTTCTTCAGAAATGGTAAATGACTGTATTAATCATAATTGTAGGTTTGCTGAAATATAAATGTTATTAAAATTATATAGTATTAAATACTATTTTCAACTAGCTCTTTCAACAGTTTGT